ATTCTGCCAGGCCAATTCATGAGGTTGCTAGTGACCCTTCTAAAGTCCTATACAAAGTCTTTTAAGGGTCGCTTGCCTTGCTTCATTTCCATTATTCTGTCTTCACTGTCCCCTATTCTGTCAGGGTTTTCAAATCTAGACCTGAGCAGCTCAACAAATGCATCAGCATCTTGTAGTTCAGGGGCATCCTCATAGTGTGATTGAGCTACCCAAGCAGAAGTGTCCCCCTCATTCATCCCATCTGTAATTGCGGAAACTAGATCGTGATCTTTTGCATAGTGATTTCCAAATTGACCTATATGTGACCAGATCCGGGTAAGAAAGTAAGCAAAGTTTTCACCCTGTCTGTCAAAAGTTGCTTTGAAAGTTACTGGGTCTGGTCTGGGGGGGGGGGGGGAATCGCCATAGCAACTGCAGGCTGAGCTGGAATGTGTTGAGCCGGCTGGAGGAAGGCTCCTGCTGGGGTACCCCCAGGGGTGGCTGAGCTGGGATTTGACATGCGGTAGGGGCATGCCAAAGGAAGGGTCCCTGCAGGGTTGCTCCAAGGGGCGGCTGGACTGGAACCTGTTGAATAGGGAGCTGCCTATTCCCCTCTTCTCCGTGCTGGAAAAAAAAGGGGGGGGGGCAGCTGCAGCCTGTGCTGATCCCCTTGCTGAGGAGGGATCGCTGCTGCTCCTTGGGCCCATGGTGCTCCCAAACTAGATGGTGCAACTGGTGCTGCCATCCACTGGCATTGGACCCACCCCTGACCAGGATAGAATCCCCATCCTGGAGGAATACTCTCCAGAGGGGGTAATCTCCTTGCTGGCTGTGGAGGGGGAGGAATTGGGGTTTGTAATGTACCCAATGTCGGCTGCATCTGCTATCCCTCCCTTGCTCCTTGGGCCTGCTGTGCTGAGCCAATCCTTGGGCCACCTCTGACCGATGCCACGCTGGTTCCACTGTCAAGTCTTGGATTAGGGAAAGTGAACGTGGGCTGACTTAGGATCCAGCTTGGCTGGAGAAGTTATGGCTGTGAGAGATAACTCCCCACCTTAAATTGCTGGAATTGCTCTGGGACCCCTGCCAATGACTGGCTGCAGGATGGAGGCAACAGGTTCCAGTCTCAGGAGTTGTCTGATTCCAAAGCCCCCCCAGCTTCTCCACTCTGTCTCGTGGACCGATCTCAGCGGGCTGGAGTAGGATAGGTGCTCAGGCAGCTTCTCCTCCAGTCCCATCTCTGGATTCAGCTCAGTCTGGCAGCTTCTCCATGAATCTGATTCCTTGGGCCGAGTGCCTAGTTTCCATCTTTCCTCTGCAGCTTCCATCACTTGTACAAATTCTTCAGCAGGGCACAGAGTCTCAATTAGTTCTCAGGTGCCTGGGTTCACTGTTCCTTCTGTAGCTTCCTCTCTTTCTTTCATCTTCAGAAACTTCGCACTGCTCCATTTTTTGAGTCAGTGCTGGGGCTCAGCACCCCTTACAGCCCCTTTTCGGGGTGCTGGAGTTTGTTTCGAGATTCGGGATAATGTCAGCATTCCAGCAAACTTCAATTCCAGCCAATAACTCCGAAACAGACATCTCTCAAATGTTCCTTTTATTTGGATAGTAACTGGCACAACTGTGGAATCCCGAATCTGAAAGTTCCGGGCTTCTTGCAATAAGTTAAAACTACAAATCCATCCCCTACACCCATCACCACATCACATGGCCCAATCACCATCCATCCCAAAGTAAGACTTCCTTCTCACTATGTGCAACATGACCTGACCTTGAATCAGAAAAAGAATGTTATTAGGTCTAACTATACTCCAATTCCCCCCTCCCACTTTCCCAGGCTCAATTGTGGCAGTGTGGGAGCATCGAATTTCAATAGGGCTTCCAAAGCTGATACAATCAGGTACTGCATGACTTTTTGTACAAGGAAGTGTTGGTGTATTTGGAGATATTTTTATATACACTGAAACGAGGGAGGAACATGTGAAATTGGTGCGGGCAGTCCTTAAAAGGCTCTGAACTGCTGAACAAAACGTTCAAAATGTGAATTTCACCAAGATAAGATTGATTAACTGGGTTATCATATCTCAAATGAAGGAGTGGAAATGGAGTGCCAAGCAGTGTTTGAAAAGCTCAAACGAATGTTCGCAAAAGAGCCCTTGCTGAAGCACCCCAACCCAGAGGCCCCATTTGTAATTCAGTCCGAGTGATGTAGCCATGGGGGCAGTGTTATTGCAAAGGAATTCTTGGGGGTTGCTACAGCCATGCACATACCCTTCTAAAAAACACACTGAGATTGAACAGAGGTGGGCAGTATGGGAGGCGTATGCAGTGCGGTGGGCCCTACTCACTTGGTGGCATTTCCTGGAAGGGGCAAGGATGCCGTTTGAGGTATGGACTGACCATAAAAATCTGCAAGCCCTGAAAACTCCACACAAGCTGTCCTCTAAACAAATCTGCTGGACTTTAATCATTTCAACTTCACTCTTCATTATGTCCTTGGGGGGAGAATTTTATGGTGGATGCTTTGTCTAGATTGCTCAAAACAATGGCGTTAAAGCTGAAGTGGTCAAACCTGTTATCCCCTTGAAGCAGCTAGCAGCCCTGGTAACCACTAGAGTTCAGGGGAAAGAAGAGTCTAAGATTCCAAATGAACTGTCTGAGAAGCTCAAAGAAGCACTAAAATCTGATGAATGACTTACTACTCACAAAAATGACTGTACCATGCATGATGGTCTGGGTTAGGTCGGAGCCAAATTATACATGCCCTCAAGCTTGAGAGTCGTCATATTAAAGGGCGCCCATAACTCTAAGTCAGCAGTACATTTTGGATTCATAAAAACCCTGCACTTGGTTAAGAGGCAGTTTTAGAGGCCTTCTTTGAAGAAAGTCATTGAAAGCTATGTGGCCGGCTGTCCAGTTTGTGCTGCGGCAAAGAGACCTCCAGGGAAATTCACAGGAGTTTTACAAACTGGCTAACCCCAGGCACCATGGAAAAAAATATCTATGGACTTTATTGTGGAATTGCCTGAAAGTAAGGGAACACTGTTATTTGGGTTGTTACGGATCTCTTTTCAAAACATGCACAGTTTGCTCCCTGTCCCCAAAATTCCCTCCGCAAAGATGTTAGGTAAAGTTCTTTGTACAACATGTGTATAGGTTGCATGGTGCACCTGAGCACATTATTTCCGATAGAGGAGTGCGATTTACATTGCAATTTGGGTGGGAATTCTTGAAGTTGTAGGGAACCGCCCAGGGCTTAAGCTCCTCCCATCACCCCCAAACTAATGGGGCTTTTGAGAGAATGAACGCAGTCCTGGAACAGTTCCTCATAACTAATTACCAACAGGACAATTGGGCTGACCTTTTGCCTTTTGCAGAGGTAGCATATAACAATTCTGTGCATAGCAGCACGGGGTTCATGCCATTTAAGATGGCCTCTGGTCAGGACTTCATAACTATGCCAGAGCTGCCACAAGAGAAAGCACATGTGCCCTCCCTAGTGAAGTGGATAACACAACTGCAGAACACTTGGCCAGTTGCCCATAAGGTGCTGGAGGAGGAATGTTAGACACATAAAAAACAAATTGACAAAAAACATCTGAAGCCAAAAATTTTTCAAGTAGGTGACAGAATTTACCTCTCCACAAAGTACTTAGTCCACCCAATCATCTAAGAAACTTGATCCTAAATATGTGAGCCCATTCCCTATTGTAAATGTAATTAATCCAGTCACTGTGCAACTGGAGTTGCCCTAGAGCCTAAAGCGTATTCACCCTATATTTCATTGCAGTTTGTTGAAACCTGAAAACCCCTTCACCCTGCACTTGATACTCCTCCCATACCCACTCTGATTGAAGGGGAGCAGCATTTTGTATTTAAAGAAATCCTAGATTCCGGGAAATCTAGAGGAAGGGTCCAATATCTAATTTCTTGGAAATATTTTCCCCTTGCGCAGTCGAATGGGTGGATGCTAAACATGTCTGGGCACCTAAACTCCTCCAGACTTTCTATAGAAAATACCCTGACAAACCCTGAAGAGATTGCTAGTTTTGGTGTGATGTATTGTATGTTTTCATTGTATAATTTTATATGGCTAATGCCTCCGTTACGGGGGGCTGAATGTCAGCGAGCTTGTTGCTTGCTGCCATAAAATAGGGGGAGAATAGAGGGGAGAATTTGCTGCCATACAACTGTGGAGAATTTTACATTGCAGCTTTTCAATGGCAGTTATCTTTAAGGCCATGGCAGCTGGCTCTGGTCTGTGGTGGCCTCTAGCTGCCTAGCTACAGGGGGCTGGGCAGTATATACTATATTTGTATTCCCACTCTGAAGCCTCAGAGCTTGCTTGAAACCATTTGCATTCAGTTTGTTCCTAGTAAAAATACTTTTCTCTAAATCTATGGAGCAAGGATTCTTCTTTCCTAGGAATTGAACAGAGGAAGCCTTGACAAGACCAGGCCCCCATCTGCCTCAAAGTTCTGGCTAGCATTCAGCTGACATCCAACTTAGAGTGGATCTAAATGATTTGATCCACAGCAAACTGAGAGGAACTTCATTGCAAGATGTCTGGCCTTCAATAGCAGCAGCAGTCAAAAGCCTGGGCTTCAGAAGGTCCAATGACCAGGTATTGGGGGAAAGAAGACCAAGACTGTGTTATCTGGATGCAGCCCACCCATGTCTCCTGCCACATCTCCATCTGCCCATAACTACACTAGAGTCATGCCTGCCCCCTTCCTCAGGAAGCCAGGTCTCCCCGCAGAACTGAGGTAGCCTTCCTCCATGCCAAGGTGCTAATGCCTTCATCAGAAATATTTTCAGAAATCTTTGTATGTTGCTAATCCCCCAGAAATGCATTCTAACCTTTCTTGTGCCCATTTCTTTCTAAACCAGGCCTTCATCTAAGGGACAATTACATGTTTAATAGCTTACTTCTCAGAAAAAAATGAAACCTGATTTTCTGGTCTCGGAGTGTAGATCATGTGTATCCCCAGGCAGTGTAAGCCAGGAGCAGGTCTGCCTACCTGGGATGCAGGACTCTGCAACAAGAGTGTAGAGGATGCCTCCTGGACTGTCTTCGGGGTCTCGGTCTGTGATCTCAATGATCAGGTATTCTTCACACTTCCCAGCAGGCTCAGCAAAGCAATCCACCGTGATAACCTGATGGCCTCCTGCGGCAATGTTTCCATACCCCGGAGATACAGTGAACATACCGAGAGAGAAGCGAGCCTGTGGAGAAGACAGGGGTTGCTTTCTCTTAAGCAACTGCTGGCTGATTCCAGCTGTTCTTTTGCAAGAGAGGGAGATGTAAACAAACAAGCCTGCGAAGGAGCCCTGGCAATTCAGCGGGGGCAATTGATTCTCAAGGATCAGTGAGAATAAGGCAAAGCGATACAGGCAAAGTCTTTCCTTGATTTACAGAGAAGCACCCCAAGTGTGGTCGTCCCCAGTGGAGCCACATTTTCTGGATCTTATGTCCCTGGCCCTGTTTCCCTTGGATATGTTCCAGGGCTTGAGGTCCTGGAGCAGCATGGAGAAACCTGGATGGGAAAATCCTGCCCCAAGCCTGTTCTCCCCAAATAAAGCCTGAACGTTGCCTAATCAAGGCTGGCAGTCGGAGTGGGAGAAGTGCAAATTAGGGGAAGCCATCCTTTGCCTACCTGCCCTATCAGGTTCATGTCTTTCTGCAAAGAGTCTGCATGTTTGCTTTGCCTGCCCGTGCTCATAAAAGCGTTCTGCCGGCTGAGGTCTGTGTCACGGGAACGGGAACTTTTGATGTTAGAGTTTCTGAAAGAGGAAGCATTACAAAATAGATGGAATCTTATCTGCAGTCTCAGAGCACAGGCTGGGAAGGTCACGCAAAGATGCACAATCCACTTTCTGAGAATGTGTTTTACACCCACGCTCCCCTTCCCGGGGCCATAATAGACCTCCCTAAGGAATCAAAAGAGAGACCACACACACACACTGGCCAAGTTGGAAGATTCCCCCACCCCACCCCCCCAGGGGATTTTTGTGGAGAATCTGAGCTCTGCTTCCCCTTCCACATTTTACACTCCTCGATTGTTGTAACTGTGAGGGTTCTGACAAGAACATCTGATGTATGTGTGCCTTTCCTTCCTTTAAAGTGTCATTTCATTTCTCAAGGGAAGAGCAGACCGGCTGTGAGGGCTGCAGTTCCCTACTCCATTCCCCAAAATTTTTCATGGTAGAACAGTAAATGGAAAAAGTTAAATCAAGGAGGGGGCAACATGTTGATAACAGATAACAGACAATCAGAGTTGGAAGGGACCTTGTTGGTCATCTAGTCCAACCCTCCGCCCAAGCGGGAGACCCTACACCATTTCTGACAAAAGGCAGTCCAATCTCTTCTTGAAAGTCTCAACTGATGGTGCTCCCACAACCTCCGAGGGCAACTTCTGTTCCATTGGTTGATTGTTCTCACTGTCAGAAAGTTTCTCCTTATTTCCAGGTTGAATCTCTCCTTGATCAGTTTTCATCCATTATTCCTTGTCTGGCCTACAGGCGCTTCAGAAAATAGCTTGACCCCTTCCTCCTCCCTGTGGCAGCCCCTCAAATATTGGAAGACCTCTATCATGTCTCCCCTGGTCCTTCTCTTTACTAGACTAGCCAAGCCCAGATGACAGGCTAGCCTTCAATCCCATCTGAGAGCACCTCTGAGATCATCCAAACCCAGTGTAACCCGATTGTAAATATGCAAATTCCTGATTGAAGTAGGACCATTGTCCCCCAAGAAGATGGACCAAAACAAGAAGACTCCTAAATCAGCCTTCCTGATGGCTTCCCCGGGGGCTTCGCTTGTGCGAAGCCGGCAGAGAACCTCAGAAATTGTGATCGTGTGACTGGCTCTAAGTCCTTCCAGTTCAGCATCATCATAACTTTGAATGATTGCTGAACAAGTGGTTGTAAATACTTGATTGTACCACCTGTACTACCTTTACCTGTACAATAAAGAACCTTCAGGGTAGACACCAGAAGGAGCTTCCCGAGGATATCAAGTATCGTGCAGTGGAACAGGCTGTCACTTAAGTGTCTCATTATATGGGAAGTTCCCTTTTGCCAGAGGTCTTCAAAGGTCATCTATCAGAGATGATCTAGTAGATCCCAGTTGAATGAACTGACCACTAAGATTTCTTCCAAGGGTGTGATTAAAATTAAAATTTACGATTGGGTACCAACCTTTAGACCACTCTCTGGGCCAAAGCGGCTTCTGCTTTATTGGGATCATCTTGGCAGACTGCAATCTCTGAGTGCTGCCACATTTAGGAAACTTCTAAAGGAAATGAATCCTTTGGCCAGGCAAAAACATTTTCCTTCTTCCAGGTATGTGAATGTTTATCTCTTTCTTGTGCTAGTTACATATTGCCATTTCTTGTTATAAGAAAGTTTTAATATTTGAGATAATTTTGAAACTGCTCTGAGAACTTTAGCACAATAAATAAATCTCAAGAAACACATGAGCACATAGAAAGATGTGGCCGTGCCAAGAAATGAAATTCTGCTGCTCTCGTTAATGCTAAATATTTAGAAAATGTCCCCGTTCTATGGACACCTGATTTCACGCACAGAACAAATCGGGCTAACAGATCCCAGGCCTAATCCCTGAAGATGAAGCTCACCCTTTCCTTGCTGTAATCACAACGTCACGGACTTGCTTGCAGGTGGTGAACTTAAAGTCCAGGACCCCCTTGTTCTCGATGGTGAAGCTACTGGTCTTCCGGGTGCCGTTCATGAGCGGCCCAAAGTTAATGACGGATGGAGGGACAATATTGTACTTGCTGAATAAGGACAGCACTGACAATCGGATGGGGATGGTGGCAATGGTCTCCCCCCCCTCACAGAGGGAAGGCTCAATCACCTAGAGCAAGGGGGAGAAGAGACTCAGGCTGGCTCCCACCTTGTTGGGTCTAATGTTAGCTGAGCCACCTTCTTTCCAGCCAGTCACCCCCGGGGTCTTACGTGGCACTGCAGAACAGGCTTGTCCTCAATTTTCACTTCCTTCTTCGAATGGAAGACAATCTGGACCTGTGTAGGGCGGTCATTGGGGCTCAGATTCCCCTTCTGGGGCTGGATGGTGAACAGCTGACCCAGGTTAGACATCCCATATTCTGTGGATTCAATAACCAAGCTGGGGAAGAAGAACACAATCCTAAAAATCCACAGTCTCTTGCATCTGTTTCTTTAACAGCTGATGGGACGTTTGTGGTGAGAGGACTCATCATCTCAATTGCCCGTCCAGCCACCCACCCACCCACCATTTCTTAGTCTAACACTCACAGAGCTTTGCAAAAGCCAGTGTGCCTCTCCAAACAGCATGCAGCCCACAGTGGCAAGGGGAGCATTCCGGATTAAAAGCATGCATGCACACATTTCAAAATAAAAAGGCCTCAAATATTAACAGTTAAATAAAATGTGAACAATGCAGACTTTATTGAACAAAAAGGGCATGCAGGATTTGGATTGTTAGAATTCCAGGACAAAAGTGTGAGTGAGGTGAGCTCGAATGACTTATCTTTGAGGCTTTCACTGAGATATAAAACTTTAATTAATGATACTGAAGCAGGGAGCAAAGGAAAAACAAAGGGAATTTCCTGAGGAGCAGGGCTTACCTGAAAGCAATCTCGTATTTGCCTTTGTTCTTCATTGATAACATTTGCTTAGCTTCGTCCATAACTCTGACAACCCCAAATTCCAAACCACCATTTGTTCCTGTTTGGGCCACAAACAGAAAAGACAGCATGAAGCTGAGGAAAATGCTCAAAACTTTCTTCCATAATGCTTCTGCCTGACTCAGGTGAGCAGAAACACCAGGCCGAAGTTTCTCACTGGTCGCAGACCATCCTAGAAATGCCCCACTGACAGAGGCTGATCTTCCGCTCTGACTGGGCCTTTGCCCCACCACACACTCTCAACCTGACAACAAACTTCAAATGTCAAAGAAACTATAAAAGAAAAACCCAATCAAACAAAAAGATGTCAAGTGCCGTGAAGGGAGGGATTTATTTCCCTGCCTCTAGGGTGAAGAGCTTCACGGAGTGGGGGCATCCAGATCTGGGGTGGGGGGTGGGAATGACCTCATTCCAGAGGGCAGGTGCTATTACAGTCCTGAGCAGAGACATTGTTTAACTGAAGGAACCAACAGTACACCAACCCTGCTGGATGAAGTTGTCCAGACCGATGTTATGGGAGAGAGGGGATCCCTCATGTAGCCAGGCCCTATGCCATGGAGCGGGGCAACATATTTATATGTGTCTTTTTGTTTTCGTTTTTTTCTCTTTTGTAATGTAAATTTTTTCAATGTTTTGTTTAGATTTGTATTGTTTTTGTAAGATTTCTTTTTTCTCTTTGTATTTTAACTTTCTGAAGAAAATAAAAATGTATTGAAAAGTGCTTCCTTTGACAGCAAGGATCCAACCTCCATCACCGTCTTCTGATCCCAAAGAGAAAGGTCAGGTGGAAAGCAGGTGCAGCAGAAAAGGCTGTGGACCAAGGGAAGTAATGGGGGACGGACGGACGGACACAACTGATTCTCCTCAAATGCTTCCCAGTGAGCACTCAAATGAAAATCCTCAGAGTTTCAAAAGAATCTTAATTTTAATTTAATTTAAATAAATAAAAGATAACTTGCCTTTGGGGAAACTGATATCCAGGGCGACATCATAGGCCTCAGCAACAATCTGTATATTTTCAATCTGAACAATTCCCAGAATATTTTCTGCATCAGAAACCTAAAATGACCACAAGGATTGTTATTCTGATGGATACTGTAGCTGGCAGGGTCAGCCCACGGTGCTGCCTATTGCAGACCAGACCCTGTCCAAGACAGGGTCGGCTCACTTTCATAAATATACTCCTGCACATTATATGAGCTGCCAAGGGTGTTGTGTGATTGAAGGGGGGTATATATTTGATGAATAAATAGCAAATAAATAATTGAGGAAGAATACTGTTCGAGACACAGATTGTGACAGAAAAGACACAGTTCCTGAGACACGATAGATGATCCTGCCAGCCCTTCGAAGTAAGAAGCTAAGAAACCAAAGTTTTGAGAGCCAATATTTCTTTTTAATAAAAGAAATATTGGCCCTCAGGACTTTGGTTACAGCAACAAAATCTTGCAAGCCTTATCTTTCTGAAAACTGGGATAGGGGGGAGTCTGTGTTGGCTTGGACTCAGATGGCTTTTGGATGACCATTTTGTCTTGTTCGTTGCTCTTCTCCTGTCCCTCAAGATTACCCCTTCTCCCCATCAGCCTCCATGCCCCCCGCACCCCCCATGTTCTTAGATCCTCTCCTCTCCCACCAACTCCCCAAGAGCCCACAAGAAACCCTGTAATGTGGCTGTATTGTCTTGAGGAGCAAATTCCTCCTCTGGTTCTTGCTGCTTCTGCAGTGCTGCCTATCCTTCCTCTTCCCATGCCAGAAGTCGCTGCCTCCTCCCCCTCCAGTCCCGTGTCTCTGATGCAGATGGAGACGGACATCTTCCTTGCCCTACTTAGCTCTGTGGGCTCTGCAATGGCAGTACTTGTCAAGGACAGGATTTGTCAGGGAACTGGTCATGAAATGGAAACTGATCACAATCGTTGCATCTCTTGCTAATGGTCTCATCACAATCCAATCCAGCAAGCTTTCCGAGCTGGGCGGATTGCTTTGCCAAGGCCTTACCTCCAGCCGGATAGCCTTCTTGAGGTTGAGGGCCTTAGTGGCCTTGAAGCTGACCAGCAGGCAGTGCTCAGTGAAGGGCTCAATGATGCCAATGTCCTCAGACAAGCAGAAGTCGTCGCCAATGTTCTCCAGGCCACTGATCCGCCAGGCGACTGGCAGGGGAGTCACGTTCTTTAGGTAAAGTGATTTTGTTTCCTTTCTGCAAAAACAAGAGAAGCCAGGCAGATGCGGATATATTTTGAAATCCCAATTTCAGGTGTAAATTCAGCCTTCCTGCAGTATTAGGCCTTGTTTTTCTGAATTATTTCATTTGGATTACTTTTCAAATATGAAGTTATTTATGAATTTATATTAATGTATCTTATTTACTTTATTGAATTGATATGGCCACCCATCTCATCTAAGCAACTATGTGTGGCTCATACAGATTTTTTTTAAAAAAGATCCAATAAAACATTACAAACCAATTTATTATAATAACATAATAGAAACATATTTTTCTAGCTTTTGTCTATTTTTTCCTTAGCTTCTTTAGGCTTTCTGCAAAAGAATTTAAACGCTACTTCAGGCTTGACCCTCTTTAGCTGGTGAGAGGGGGGGTTATAGAGATAAGGGAGGCGGAGTGTTGTGTCTCCGTGGCATTCTTTCATGTGAGAATAGAGGAAGGGCCTGCAGCTGGTGGAAGGTGGAGTCTGGAGTCACCGGACTGATGGGCTGAGAATTGACTGGAGACTGCGGTTCTGGGGGGAAGTTTCGAACGTTTGCTTTTATTAGGTGTAATTCCGGGATCTAGCCAGAGTAAGAATTACACCAGTTTCTTACCAATTTAATAGAACCCTAATAAACAGACTTTAAGATGGATGCCTTGCATTTTTATTCAGGGGACTTGTTACTTGGAAGGCTGACAGTAAAATCCTTGAACTCTATGAACTGAAGTCCTGCTATAAACAGTGTCATGGACACTGTTTTTTGTTAAGAAGAAGCAGGAAGGACCACAACTCCATGTTCAACATACCGTTAACATATTTCAAGTCTCTGGCCATCTAGAGTAGACTGTCCTATTCAAACAGAAACCCTGTCCTCATTGGCACTTGCCTTTTACCACTGAAAATTGGGATGGGATGGGATGGAGTAGAAATAGAAAGCGCTATATCAAATCCTGGTTCAGTTAACAGCGGTGTCCCCCAAGGCAGCCACGCTCTTTAGGACCCACACTCTTTATATAAATGACCTTTGTAATCACCTTATAAGCAACTGCATCCTCTTTGCGGATGACATAAAACTATTCAACACCACCAACAATGCTACTGTCCTTCAAAGTGACCTTGATTGTGTGTCTGAATGGTCAAACAATTGGCAACTCCAAATCTCGACCAACAAATGCTCTGTCCTACACGTTGGTAAAAAAAATCAGTTCACCAAATACAAACTAGGCAGATATGACTTCATTGATTATCCTCACTCTGTCAAGGACCTTGGAGTTCTCATATCAAATGACTTAAGCGCCAGAGCTTACTGTAACAGCATTGCCAAAAAGGCATTAAGAGTTGTAAATCTAATCTTACAAAGCTTCTCCTCCGGAGATATCGAATTGCTAACTAGAGCATACAGAACTTTTGCCAGACCAATACTCAAATACAGCTCATCAGTCTGGAATCCACACTGCATATCGGACATTAATACAATTGAGCGAGTCCAGAAGTATTTCACAAGAAGAGTCCTCCATTCCTCTGTTTGCAACAGAATACCCTATATCACCAGGCTTGAGATTTTGGGCTTGGACAACCTTGAACTACGATGCTTACAGTTAGACTTAAGCGTAACACACAAAATTATTAAACTGACCTACCAGTCAGTTTCAACCACAACAACACAAGAGCACACAACAGATACAAACTCAATGTAAACCGCTTCAAACTCGATTGCAGAAAGTACGACTTCAGTAACAGAGTGGTGAACGCCTGGAATGCACTACCTGACTTGGTTGTTACATCCTCTAACCCCCACTCCTTTAACCTCAAACTATCCACTATTGACCTCACCCCATTCCTAAGAGGTCTGTAAGGGTCGTGCACAAGCACACCATTATGCTTACCGTCCCTGTCCTATTGTCCCCATTTATTTGTACCTATTTCCTGTATTCTTACTCATGTTTATACTTATACCTATTATCTTGTAAGCGATTGACAAATCAAATAAATAAATAAAATAAATAGAAATAGAATAGAATTCTTTATTGGCCAAGTGTGATGGGACACACAAGAAATGTGTCTCTGGTACATAAGCTCACAGTGTACATATAAATAGCAAGTAATGTGACCTATTAATCAAGGTTTTGGGAAAACAGTCTTCTACAAAACCTTTAGCAGGATGGCCATTTGCTGTTAAAAACCAGATGGCCATATTTAATGATACCCCTCCAAACCCAATCTCAATCAAATAACTTAGATTTAGACTTTAGCAGCATTATGATACCTAAAGCCAGAAAGCTGGTCAAAAATCCCCTAAAATATCCCCCCCTCCCCCAATGTTCCAGGTGAAGGGAAGAGACAAACAGATGGCTAAAATAGGTTGATCTCCAAAAGCCCAACCTGTGCAGCAACAACTTTTCAAAATGCAGCTGTCGGCGGTCCAGCTCCACTTCTGGGCGAACCCCCTGGCAGCAGATCCGGAAGGTGACCGGCTCCGGATTCTCCTTCACACAACAGATGATGCTATCTTCAAACACACCAGCCGCTGTTGGGTAAGCCCAGACGGTCAACACCTGGAAGGACAGGAAAGGGCCTGAGTGGCATCTCCTCTGACAGCGAAGGCTGTTAGGGAAAGTAAAGTAAGAAGCCCTTACTTGCTTCTGGTTCGGCTTCAGCATCAGCATGGGTGGGTCCAAGAGGTACGTGACTGCCCTGGAGTCCTGCTGGAAGAAGAAGTGCACTTCGACCTCCAAAGGGGAGATGTTGAGAATGGTGAGTTTTTCAAAGTGGTTGGGATATCGTGCAGCCTTGTACCTAGAGAGCACAGTAGGGAGGCAGAAGGGAGAAGACAGGGGCCAAAGGGTCTTTGGGTTGCTGCTATATTTATTGTTGTTTCAACCACCTTACTGAGGTTTTTGTTGGTTGTTTATATTGTAAGCTTATACTGTAAGAATCAGTTGAGTTAGGCGGTTCTATAAACTTGATTAAATCAATGAATGAATAAATAACACCAAAGCAATGGGATCCTGACATTACACATTCTCTTAAGCATCTTCTTTTAGACATATGAAAAGGCAATTCAGTTTGCACTTCCCTACTCCACAATCAGGCTCTTCTGGCTACTGTTATATCCAGGGGTGGGTTTCTACTGGTTCTGTCCACCCCTGTAGAACCGGTAGCCCTGAAGAGCAGCAGACATAGAACCGGTTCTGTGTCTGCTGATGTTTTTGCCCACCCGCCCACCTGGGCTCTTACTTGACCTTTATTTCCTGATTTTTTTCAACTTCAGCTGCGTGCAAAGCACAGCTGCAGTTAAAAAAGAAGGAAAAAGGGGCTTTTTGAACGGCTGCTTCTCTGCATGTAGCATGCTGATGACGATTTACAGGTGCACTGGCAGCATGCAGGGAAGCACATCATAAATCACCAAATAAATCACCATAAATCACCATAAATCACCAAATGACCAAACTGGTAGTTAACCCTGTCGGATCCCACCCCTGGGTCTTTCCCACTCAGAAACATGAAGAGGCCAGAAAATGCCTTCAGCCCAATGTTGTTTTTGATTGCATTGGTGGAAAAAAAAAGAATATCTTTTTGAAAATCCTCCTGTGCTTTCCTGGATCCCCCTCTTATATCCCACAAATACTTACTTTTCTCTTGACTTGCCACAAAGCAAGGGACCAAAGTGGAATACACCCAAGCTCAGGATGTATTTCTTGTAGACAATTTCATCAGGCTTGATAGTCTTCTTACGATGGGGGAACACTATCCTGGATCAGAGAAGCACAGATGCATCAGCAGCTGAACAAAATAAGAGGTCCAAGCATACAAGACATGGGCAGGAGCTGATGCAAGCAACCATCCAAAGAACCCTGCTGGTTTCCTGGGGAACAAGGAAACTGAACTAGGATACCCAATGCAGACCAGACCCTCTACAGAGCAATTCCCTTAAGTCTTCCCTTAAGACACTCTCATCCTGCAGTATCTGCCAATGTTGACAGTACAATGAGAACAAATTGTTGAAAAGTACAATCTTCATTCTTAGGATAATGTAATTCTCACCCATTTTAGATGGAAAAAATCCACATTTATTTTGCTGTCAACTTTATTTTGCTTTTAACAACTGGCTCAGCCTCGTTATGTTGAAACAGATAAAATCACATGTAACCCAAAGCAATTCAGATTCAAAGAGGAGATTTGGTCACAGTAATGTTATTCGATTTCCAATTCAGCTTCTGACTACTAACTTCAAAAAGGCAGAAAAACCCACAAGGTAGCATCCTTTACTCATGAAAAGATGCCACAGACAGGTGTCTCCTCAGCCAAAGTCCAAGCTGGGGGGCCTCTTGCGTCCACACTGGAGGACACAATAAGGGCCACAATATGCCCAGCTTCACTGCTGTGTCTCTTAGCATGGAATATGCCCGTGACGAGGCGGGGCTGTTTCCTCCTGCTTACGTGGGATCCTGGCAGATGGTAGGGTACGTGCAGGTGCCCCTGCAGCACACCTGATACTGTCTCCGAGTTCCAAGGATTTCAAAATTTAGAACCTGATCAAAGAGTCCTGTTTTGGTGGAAGAGAAATGGATGCGCATCGAAACTTCCCCATTAGCAGGTACAATCCAGCGAAAGCAGTTCAACCTGTGGAATACAAAGCACACAGATCTGCTTTAAGCCAGCGTCTCTAAGGCCAAACTTTTGAATGCAAGCTTCGTGGGCACAGAATTCTCTGCTCCATCACAGAAGAAAGTTCTCCTGTTTTCTGAAAAAGATGCTCCTTAGACATTGGGGAAGAAGTCCTTCCTTCCCCTTGGATAGGGCCCACTATTTAAATCTGTCAAGGTCCTTTTGGATCCTGAGCTTGTCTTCTGGGATGTTGGCTATTCCTGCCAGCTTAGTATCATCTGCAAATTTGCTGAGTTCCCTTCTATTCCCTCATCTAAGCCATTTAGGAAGATATTGATGAGTCCAGGGCCTAGGACGGAGCCTTGTTGTGCCCCACTGCTTACTTCTCTCCATGTGGATTTAGAAACAGACAAAACCTCAGAAGGTTCAAGGAACAAACATAAACCTGTAGGAAGCCCATAGAATAAGATTTAAAGTCAGTAAGACTTAAAAACAGAAAAAACAAACACAGAGAAAAATGGGCATTTCAAAAGAAACGGTTATTTCTGTGCTGGGGAGGGGCCCTTCCATTCCCATCTGTGGCCCACAGCATTTCCTCATCTCCCTGTCACTGACCGCAAGGGTAGGCCGATCTATCCAGGTTCTTCTTCTCCTCCTCCCCCCACGGGGGCTTGTGCCTCAGGATCCTAACCTGAGCAGCTTCTCACTGGAAGCCTCTGTGGTGGGACTGCCCTGATCAAGCTCAGACAGCGTGGTCATGGTGCCAGGGCTGGGATGGATGCCTTTTCTGCTGCGAGAGGCACCTTTCTTTTCCTTCGGGGCTTCACGGGAGACCTCAGGTTTCTCCTTCCTGGACTTGCCTCGAGTAGGGGTGGCCAGATCCTCCTGAAAGCCAGTAGAAACAGAGCAAGACAGAAAGCCAATAAATGAGAATATCAACATTAATATTAACATTGACATTCAACAAAGATTAATATCAAACCTACAATCAAGTAAAAAATACCCCAACTGAGGAACTGCCACACAAGACAATCATAAACAGCCCAACCAAAGAACCTCTAAGAACAACCCCACCATCACTGACAGGGCAAACCATTAGAATATCAACTGAGCGCAAACCCCACTCCTTACTAGCACTGATGATGTTACCTAGTTTGGACAATGAAACATCTGCAAGAAAAGTCAGAGACTCAGAGAGCACCAAGGTCCCCTCAAGAAGCAAAGTGTGAAACTAGGAATCAGGAAGTCCAACCACCATAATCTTAACAGTGCTGACAGAAATGTTTTAGGTTATATTTCTTCATATCATTGGCTAGCTAGTGAATAACCATAAAGGAGTACCACTTGATCTTTGTGCTAGTAGGAATCAACTTTCTCAAAGAATGGACACATTTGGACGTGATCTCTCAGAAAATCACTTTGTGAATGGAGTAGCATATTTACATTCCAAGATGTAGTGCAAGGCAATATATATATTAAGCAACTCTATTTCCTTTCACTGTATCAAGGATGAAGTATTTTGGGGCAGCAGCCAGTCTGGACATGGTTAATGCCAAGATAACTTCTTTCAAAGATTTTATCTATAAGTTTTATTAAGAAGATTAAGAACACAAGAATGCACTACTAGAACTGCAAAACCAGGCACAACTTGCTAATAAAGTGTCAGGCACGGGGAAACCAAGAACAGCACACGGTGAATTGCTCAAAATAGTTTCTTGATTGCTTTTTTGCCTATAGACAGGAATCTTTCAGACTAAACCACACTCGCTATATATAGGACCGACTTTCTTCATACTCTACATAAATGACCTCTGTGATCATATTAAAAGCAACTGTGTTCTCTTCGCTGATGATGTAAAGCTATTCAACACCACAGAAAATACTACTACTCTCCAAAAAGACCTCGACTATGTATCAGAATGGTCAATCAAATGGCAACTTCAAATCTCAACAAATAAATGTTCTGTCTTACATATTGGCAAAAAAAAATCAGCAAATAAAATACAAGCTGAATAGTCAAGACCTTGCTGATGATCCAAACTCTGTCAAGGACCTTGGAGTACTCACTTCTAATGATCTAAGTGCTAGAGCCCACTGTAACTACATACCAAAAAGGCATTAAGAGTTGTTAACCTAATCCTACGTAGCTTCTTCTCTGGTAATATCACTCTACTAACTAGAGCATACAAAACATTTGCTAGACCTATACTTGAATACAGCTCATCAGTCTGGAACCCACATCACATATCTGATACTTATACAGTTGAGAAAGTCCAGAAATATTTCACAAGAAGAGTTCTCCGCTCCTCTACTCATTGCAGAATAGCTTATGCCACCAGACTTGAAACTCTAGACCTAGAAAACTTAGAACTATGCCACCTTCGGTCCGATCTAAATATAGAATATAAAATCATACATTGCAATGTCCTACCTGTCAATGAATACTTCAGCTCCAACCATAACAATACAAGAGCACACAATAGATACAAACTCAAGGTTAACCGCACCAAACTTGATTGCAGGAAATATGACTTCAGCAACAGAGTGGTCAATGTTTGGAACATTCTACCTGACTATGTGGTTTCTATCCCAAACCTCAAAAACTTTAACCTCAGACTGTCTACTATTGACCTCCCCCCTTTCCTAAGAGGTCTGTAGGGGGGCGTGCATAAGCGCACCAACATGCCTACCGTCCCTGTCCTATTGTTTATTTTTTTCTTTTCTTATACATATCCATTTCATGTATTCATAACTATGTTTATACTTATACCTGTTATCTTGTAAGTGATTGACAAATCAAATAAATAAAATAAAATAAATAACTATCAAATAAATGCTGTGATGACTTAGGGACCATCTTTTCTGGGCTTCGTCCTTTGTACCAATGGCTCAGTGCTGATTCTTCTCCTCTCCCTCAGGCAACTCGGCACTAGGCAACTTGCAAAAGACTTCCTTTCTAGCCCGAGGCAGAGCGGGCAGCTGAGCTGGCAGGCTGCCCATTTCTCTAACATGGCACACAAGCCCCCCTCCCTACCTTGGGCTGGAATTCTGATTTTCTGGGGCATGGTGGGAGGGGAGCTGACATGCTCGGTTGGAGAAAGAAACCTTAGATCATTAGGATCCGAGTTTTCTTTCTCTGGCCCAGCACACGGGTTTTGCACACAGAGGGGCGCTGGCAAGAGGGTTAGAGTTAGGGTCAGGGTTAAGACCATTCCCCACTTAGAGCCTTGCCTTACTTCTGACATGTCCTGCTCTGATTCAATTTGCAGGTGGCTCCATATTTTTCGGGGCAACATTTTCAATGGATGGATGGAAACTAATCAAGGAGAGAAGCAACCTAGAACTAAGGAGAAATTTCCTGATAGTGAGAACAATTAGCCAGTGGAACCGCTTGCATTCAGAAGTTGGGGTGGTCCATCAGTGGAGGTTTTTAAGAAGAGACTGGACTGCTACTTATCTGAATTGGTATGGGGCCTCTTGCGCAAGCAGTGGGTTGGAATATAAAACCTCCAAGGTCCCTTCCAACTCTGTTATTTTGTTATGATTGCATTGTATTTTCCCTAAGTTTTCTTCTCTTTTTTAAAGAGAAAAAATAAAATTTAAATAACCCAAATCCTTCGGGCGCTTCTTAGAAGGGCTGGTGGCCAGACCCTTCTCCATCTTGGTAGCCATCCTCTGAACTCACCTCAGTTGGGCACTGTCCCAGACCATACACTAAAGGTCAAAGAATGGAAAGATACTCCTCTGTCTGTTCATGTCAGAGGAGACATTTACCAGCACCTTTACTGTCAGGATTTGGGCTTACACCCTAAAAAGCATCATCAGCATCTGTCAACCAAGCTACTCCATGCAACCCAGATGCCCCTAAGCAGCAACTCCGTACCTTTGCCACAGGGAGACTTGCTGGAGTCTCCACACCACTCTCACCCTCCTTTTTGTCCTCCTCTGGATTCAGTTCTTCAGGAATAATGAAGGTGAAGTGCTTGAGAGCTTCTGAGGCAACTTGTGCTGGTCGCTTCTCGGGGTATGGGATCACTGAGAAAAAGGCGGTGGGAGGAATGGGCGGCCCTGAAGGACCCAGCCCCAAACCATTCAAGATCTAGAGCAAGGAATAAAATGGAGTTGTTGCTTCCATGCTGTGCTTAATGAAATTGCAAACACAGACCTTTGTTTTTAGCCTTACCCCAAAGCCTTATCGACTTATTTAGGGGCAGCTTCGGATCCAGGTTTGGCTTTCCTGGCAGTTGAGCAGAAGCTCTGCATTGAATGGCCAGCCTTCAGTGTTCAAACAAGCCAATGATGCAGGAACCATAAGAGCACAGATTATGGAACTGTTCTTAGATGGCATATTAGCATCAAAAAATGTTTTTGAGAAAACCAGGGGACAAAATGTCTGGAGGCTGGTTCTCACTTGGTGGTTTTTGAGTCTGTACCATGAGTAGGCTACACCCCCACCATCCCATATACACATAGATATTATATAGCTTGTAAAAAGGCAAGACACTACAGGGTGCCTTTTTTGACCCTTTGGAGTGACCCACCTTTTCTCAGTCTGACTGGACGTCCCTTGCACTAAGGTTTCCCCCCAAGTTAATGAATTCCTGAATCCCATCATAAACCTTGCCACCAGCCTGCAACTTCCTCCCTGCAAAGCCCAGCCCAGCCTACCCACTGAGCAGATAACCCCCAGGGCTCACCTGGATTACCCTGGGCAATTTGCCACTTTCCAGGATCCGCTTGCCACTGGACTCCTCGGAACTGAGCACATGGATTTCCAGAGAGGGGATGCCAAGGTCCCTCTCCATGACTTCTCCTCCTCCTTCTCCCTCCAACCCAGCGGCTCTGCTATCCTCCATGGCCTTCAGCTTTTCCAGGCGTTCCCGCTCTGCTTTCTCCTTCTCCAAGCGCTCCTTCTCTGCCCGCTCCTTCTCCAGCCTCTCCTGGCGCTCTCTTTCCCGGTCCTTCCTGCCTTTGCGACCGGATGGAGCCTGGCGCTGATCCTCAGCTTCCTCCTGCTTATCCTCTGAGCCTGGTGGCTGCAGCTGCACTTGCTGGACCCTGTCCCAGAACATCAGGATCTGAGCGATCTCCTTCTGGCTGGCCTCGTACAGCTTGAACCGCTGTGCCAAGCTCTTCTCATTCTCGCTCATATCCTTTTCTGCTTCCTCCTCTTCCTGGGCTGCCGGAGTCGCTGTGCCTGGCTGCTCATTCTGCAGCGCCATTCTGCTCTTCTTTTTCTTCTCATCTTTGTCATTGACACTCACATCTGGACGCTCCTTCGCAGAACCTTTTCTCTCTAGCCCTTCATTCAGCTTCCCGTCTGATTTGTAAGCTGATATGGTGGGGTTCTGTGAGAGGAAAAGGAAGGAAGCCTTCAGCTGTTCTAACTGTCTTGCGCTTGCATCAAGGAAAAGAGCCTCTATAAACCAAACTCCCAGGCTTTCCAGCACCCGGATTTTGTGACTAAGGAAACTGGCACCCCCTACCTGGTCATCAGTAATGACAATTCAAAGAGCAAAGCCATCTAGATTGCTCCATCAGCAGCATCAATTTACTGGTCCAAAGTATAATGGTGTAGGCGTTGCCCATACAGAGTGTAAGAAGATGGCCCTGATAGAAATATACCAGTTCTGTTGCTTAGGCAAAAGACCTAGAATTGTTTTAAGTTAAGAACGTCCAGATGATGGTTGGAAGTGATTCAGGCACCTCCCCAATTCACTGCACTGTAACCAAGAAGTCAAGCCCCATCAGCCTTGCAAGATTCTGACCCCCTGGACTGGTCCAGCTGGTGGGGTTGACAGCGATGCAGCAGTTGGGCAGGACTCTCCTTGAGACTTACCTGCTTGCTTCCTTGCTGGCCTTTTTTCCCTGCTGCCTCTTCTTTCTCTTTCCCCCCATCCCTCTTATATCGCTTGGACTTCTTCTTCACCTCCTCTTCCTCCCGCTGGCGCTCCAGTTCTTGTTGATGCTTCTTTTCCTCCAGCTCTCGAGCTAGCTTCTCCAGCTCCCTTCCAGGCATTCAACAAGGAGAAATTTAAATAAATCTACACAAATGTCTATAAAACATTTAGACATGAATTTCATTAGTTTTTTCCCTAGATTAAGGTCCACAGTTTTGGTAAGAGCCACATCCTGTGCATGGCAACAAAACCACAACTCACCTTCCTCTGTGGGACCCAAGCAAATTTGCAGACCTGAAAGGGAAAAGATTCCTCACCTTCTTTTTCTCTCTCGTAAGGCCTGCAGCAGCTCATTGTCAAATTGGATCTTTTGTTCTTCAGTAAGGGCATCATACTCCTCTTCATCCATTTCCTGAAGACGAGCTTTCTCTCTTGCAACAGCTTCCTGCTGTGCCCGCTCTTTCACAGAGATCGAGAAGGAAAAGAAATGCCTCAATCTGCCCACTGGCATTAATGATGCCAACGCCCGGGTTCCTATCTCATTACAGTTCTTGCAAACAGAAGAAGCAGGCAAGAAAGGCAAGGCGAAAGAAGAAGGAACTCAAATCTGACAACCACAAATTCCATTGCCTGATTCTACAGAATGTGACTGGGAATAAGACACAAAAAAGAATGACTGGATGAGCCCACAAGAACCACATCCTTCTTACCTTCCTGCTCTTGTTTGCTTATCTCTCTAGCTTTCATAGCCGCAAAATCCTGGAAGAGATTCACGAAATAGATATACCGCCGGTTGTTGATTGCTTTGAGTAGGCAGAGGAGTGCTGATACCATGCTGCGGGCAAACATAGTTTCTAACCCATCGAACACCATGCCACGATAGCAATCACTAAGCTGTCCAAAAAATGGAAGAAGAACACCACATTTAGGCCAGTCAACAGCATGTCAGTGCTGTGCACACATCCCACTAATGCAAGTGAAAGGCATTCCAGAAAACCTCCACCCCAATCAATAACTCCAAGACAGACATCTTCTCAAAGGTTCCTTTTATTATAGTAGTAAACTGGCACATCTGGGAAATCCCAAATTTGAAAGTTCTGGGTTTCCCTTCAATAAGTAAAAAATTACAAATCGACCCTCTGCACCCCTCATTGCATCACATGTCCCAATCACCATCCGTCCCAACTTGAAACATCCCTTCAACCACTCCTCAGCCAGGTGCAGAAATAATATCACCTTGACTTAGAAGAAGAATGCTATTATGTCTAACCATATGTGCTCTAAGAAATCCCCCCTCTCACTTTTCCACACTCAAGAATGTGGCAGTGTGAATTCTAAATTAATACAAATTTTAACACACACACACAAAAAGAAAAAAGAACAAGTATAGGTTTCCCCTCTTTTAGTATTTTGAGTGTGACACCTTAATGATTAGAATATACCTTTATTACCTCATCTTAATTCCCAATAGACCATTAATCATTACATCTTTTCAATTGGATTCCACAGCATATTTCCCCCCCACTTTAATAAGAGTTATCAATATCTATATTACCCTATTTTCTAACTATTTTTAATTGCAGAAATATTCTTATTATCCCTTGTCACCCTGCAGAATCCCCTTTTTAATTCATCAACCATTATCTCTGAAAAAACAATTTCTTTTCAACATTTTACTATTTCTGTGTTTCTTTCTTTCACATGCCTGTTTCTTACTGCTTCTCCTCCCCCTTTTTTCTCCATATCTTTTCTCATTCCAGTTTATATCCCTTTCTTTCTTAATATCTTCCTTTCCCCTTTTCTGCTGAGTCTTTCTGCCTTTCCTGACTTCACAGGTGTTCCTTCTTTTAACTGTGAAGAAACAATTTCCTTTCAACATTTTACTGTTTCTGTATTTCTTTCTTTCATATGCCTGTTTCTTGCTGCTTCTCCTCCCCCTCTTTTCCCCATATCTTTTCTCATTCCAGTTTATATCCCTCTCTTTCTTAATATCTTCCTTTCCCCTTCTGCTGAATCTTCCTGCCTTTCCTGACTTCACAGGTATTCCCTCTTTTAATTGCCTTCTTAACTCAAGTTTTTAACCTTCCTTCTTTCCCCACTTCTTTGTAGCATTCTTTGTGTTAATTGTCTATTTAAAATGTCTTCTCCTTGAGTTGATTCCTCCTCCTCTGAAAATCTTTCTTCTTGTTCTTCAATCGCCATTTCCATTTTTTCTAGCACAGAGCAAAGTGATTCACCTCTTTCCTGTAGTAATTCTCTCATATTTTTAAGTTCCATTTATAATTCCCGAAGAGATATCATAATTCTTATATTTTATGATCGTTAAAAGTCCACAAAAAGAAACCACTTTTACTTTCCTTCTTTCTTCTTTCATTTTTTTAAGGTTCTCAGTTATTCCAGTCCAGGGTTTATACCAAAAACGTCAATCAGTCCCACGAACAATCTTTCCTTGCTTTTTCCTTTATTCTGGTTCTGCTTTCACTTTCTAAAATTCTTACTTTGTTTCAATGTTTCTGTAATGTTATATCCACACCAGTTCATTCAAAAACAGGATGCTTTCCCTTTTATTTGAACCAAATTTTTATCAAAAGGTGACACTCTCCATTATACAAAGTCTTCACCTTTTTCCCCTATTTTTTTTATTTAAGGTTTTTCAAACCTCAGTATTCCAGCATAGTCCAGTCTCCAATTTGTAAACGTTATTGTTATTCTTTGACAATCTTAAGTCCAGCTTTAGTTTTATACTTGTTTATTCCCAAATTATTTTAGTCCAATTTTATTAAATCTTTAATTCCAGCTTCTTCCTTTCCCGGTTCGAAGCCCCATTTAGCTGTCAAAAATATATTTTTTTCTCTATCCCTTTGTAATTTCGCCGCTCACTTTTCTTTTCTTAAAAATTCTATGTTACCTTAATCCCGGGGTACTTTTGTTTAGTTATATTGCCCAGTTGTCCCGGTTCAGATGTTAGCCACCTCTTTCTTCCCTCCTGAACAAATCTTAGTCCAGCTGAGTTGTCCTCTTCGGGGTGGCCATTTAGATCACCGCTGCAGTCATCTTCGGGAAGAAAAAAACAAAACCAAGCCCCGGGGGGGGGGGAGATGCGGCTCCCCACAATCAGGCTTGCTGCTTCCTCTTACTCCGCTGCCCCTCCAAGGCAGTTTCAGCCCCTAATCAGAATGATTGGGGCTCTCTGACGAAAGAGCACGAACGATAGCCGCAGAGAGTTGCGATCTACTGTCCGTTGGCAAGGAGGCTCCCCCTTCTTCTTCCCTTGTGTAATGGAAAGGGAATATGACAGACTAAAGAACCAGCTAAATTAATAAGTTTAATATAGATTATTAAAAGCAACGAGAGACATTGATAACTTCATTATTACCACTATTAGGCAAATATATATTGTTTATTTTTATTTTTAAAATAAATATTAAGGATTATATTTGAAATAATTGAAATGAAAGAAAAAGATGTTTCGATTGAGATTAATGAAAGAATTTAGAATTAAACTTTATTATTATTAGGCAAACACATATTGTTTATCTTTATGTTTAAAAACAAATACTAAAGGATTATATTTGAAATAATTGAAATGAAAGAAAAAGATGTTTCGATTGAGATTAAAGGCTACAATTAATGTGTTTGTTTCTCTCCTTACTGAAAATTTGGAATGGAAAAGGTAATAATAGAATTAAGTATGCATATATCAATGTATAACTGCTGTCATATTTGTATGTAAAGGTGATGACCCGGAAATATGTTGTCCACTAAAAAGAGATTTTTGTTTTTAATGTGAAATACTGAATAAAGTTTGTTTAAAAAAAAAAAAGAATGTGGCAGTGTGGAAGCATATGGCTTCCAAAGCTGACAGGAGTTCCCCCTTGAAAAAATCATTTCCTGAAAAATACAATAAATAAAACACAACAAGGGGTTAACGTATTGTCATCAGGCCACTTAACACTCTCTCCCCCCTCCAAGGGGACCCTTTGGCTTGTCGGGGAACTTGTCATGGAATTGTTTAATCAATCTATCTGCATGTACATCCCAACTTTTCACCCAAGTAGCTTCTGACAAAGCGTAGCCTTTCCACAGCACTAAATATTGTAATCATCCTCGGTGTAATCTAGAGTCAAGGATTTTCTTGATTTCATAATGTGCTTCGCCTTGTCCTACCAAAGACTTGGGGCGAGGGGAGGAAACTACTGGTATTGGTCAAGATTGGAACCAATAGCAGGCTTCAACAAGCTACTATGGAATACAGGGTGTATTTTCCCTAACAGCTGAGGGAGGCTAAGTTGGACAGCCACTGGATTGATTACTTTCAATATAGAAAAGGGATCCAGAAATTTAGGTCCCAACTTCTTACTAAGAAACTTCAACTTCAGATATTTAGTTAACAAAAACACTTTGTCACCCACCCTAAAATGTGGTTGGAGAGATCTATGTTTGTCTGCCTGTTTTTTATATTCCTCAGCTGCTTCCACTAAAGCTTTTTTAGTATTCTTCCAAACCTTTTTTAATTATTCCATCCAATCTGTCAAGGACATGGATGTTTGGGGTTCTCTAGATCAGGGGTCCCCAACCACCGGTCCCTGGACCGGTACCGGGCCGTGGAACAATTTCTACCGGGCCGCCGGTTTGCTGGGCACCGCCATCTTGTTTTGATGAAAAAGTGCTTCCGGTGAGCTTTTCCGGGTAGAAAGCGGCGTTTGGGTGCTGAAAGAATCCTCGCGCTTTAGTTTCATCGAGGGGGGGGCAGCTTCGAACAAAACTAAGGTGCGAGGATTCTTTCAGCATGCATGGCAAGGCAAGCCGAGTGACCATCCCGAAGCCGTCGTGAAGCCCATCGACACAGGTACAAAGGAGGAGTTGAAGTTGCTCGGCTCACCTTGCCATGCATGCTGATGCCGGTACCGGGCCGTGGATGGTTTTGTGATGCCGGTACCGGGCCGCGGCACAAAAAAGGTTGGGGACCACTGCTCTAGATAACTCAGACATAGGGACAAAGTCCATGCCAGTAGTGATTTGGAAAGGAGTCAAGCCAATGCTGCTGTGTACTGCATTATTATAAGCAACTTCTGCAAATGGCAATAGATCCACCCAGTTTTCCTGTTGATAATTTACATAACATCTAGTGTACTGTTCCAACATAGCGTTTGCTCGTTCAGTGGCCCCGTTATAAGAAGGATGAAATGCTGAGGAAAGTCCTTGGGACGACCCAATGGACTTTAAAAACTCCCTCCAGAACTTAGTGGTAAACTGCACGCCTCGATCTGAGATCACTTGACATGGCACTCCGTGGAACAATAAATATGCTTCGCAAACAGTTTTGCCAGTTTCTTAGCTGAAGGTAAAGTGGGATTGCTTGGAAAACAAATTGATGACAGTCCAAATCATTGCACTTCCTCCACTTTCTGGTAATTCCACAACCAAGTCTATCACAATTTCTTCCCATGGCTTCATTGGTTCAGCTACTTGTTGGAGAAGTCCAGGGGTTTTCCCAGTTCTATGTATCACTGTGGCACGAAGTGAACAGCTCTTTACATAGTCCTTGACACCAGTCTTCATTTTTGGCCACCAGAATTGTCTTCTGACTAAATCTAGGGTTTTAAAAAAACCTAAAGTGCCGCCCCAATTGAGAGTCATGGCTGCATTTTAGTACCATCAATCTCATTATATTGGGTATATAAATCTTGCTTCCTTTCCAAGCTAATCCTTCACTCATTGTCAAATCAGTTTGATTTTTAGCAAACCATGGATCATTTGAGAGTGCTGCTTTCAAATCTGTTATCAGTTTGTCCTCAGGGAGTCTAGAACTGCATTGGGTTTGTTCTCTGGTGGTCACTTGGCCAGCGGGTTGGGCTTCTGATATCATAGTTTGCACTACTTCCTCCTGGAGA